CTTCGCGGCCAGCTTGCGGAAATGCCTCCAGCGAAACGCCCGCTCGCGGCTCTAGACGCGTCGCGCTTCAGAGACCCATGTCCACCGATATGGCAGGCACTGCGCTTCGACCACGCGAGCTGGACCCGACCAGGGGCATCTCACGGGGCCCGTTCGCGGCCAAAGTGTGGCAATGTCTTAAGCGAAGCGTGTGTTCGCAGCTCTGGTCGCGTCTCAGTTTTTCCTGCCAAAGGCTCGGCACATCTGTCGTAATGGTAAATCTGTCGCAACGGCGGTGCCGTCGCGCAGAACTACTGCGCGAATCCACGAGAGTGGTGGACACTCCAAGGAATCAAATCTTTGAAATGATGCTCGAGATTACTCGTTCTGGCTTCGCTTTCGTGGGCAGCCGAGGGGCCCGTCAGCGCTCGGCGAACAAAAATCACGCCCAAATGACTACGCACGCAACGATAATCATGACGTGCCCTCCTACCGACCCCTGTCTCCAGCCAGCCAATTCGATCAGCCTCGTTGCCGCCATCTTCTTATACATTGAGCGCCTCGGCCGCTTACTCCACCAGCTGGTTCGCGCTTGCACGGGGCCGTTGAGAACTCTCGGGCCCTTGAGCCCCCATACATCACACAGCCGATCCATGGAATCAGCAGGGGGTGCCTTTGCCAGCAGGGGGTGGTAAGGCCACTGAAGCCACGAAGCGTCTGTCCTGCCTCCCTGGCCCCCGTCTGCCGCTCCCCGGCTGGAAAAGGGGACGGAGGCCACCGAACTCCAGGCTTGCACACGTCGTCTATCCTAGCTCTCCTGGCGGCATCGAACGCGTCTGCGCTGCAAGATCGGCGCCTCAGGCGGTCGACGTCGGCGTTGGGCCAAAAGCTATGCACGTGCCGAGTGTGCGACGATAGATCTGCGTCGCTAGATGGATGGAGCGACACCTTTCGGCGTGGATGCACCTTCCACCATGGTTTTGTTTTCCAGTGCTGCCTCAACTCTCGGCGTGGCTCCGCGAACATGCAGAACGGCTTTACCGTCAGCTGTAGCCCTCGACCAGGCGGGAAGCGGACAGCTCCAACCTCGAGACGGGCAGCCACTGACAGCTAGCCACTCTAAGGGAGGTGCATAGCAATGCACACCCTAGAGCTCAAACTCTGAATCATGCCTTAATCATCCGTGCTGATCAACCGTCTCGCCTTCTTTAACACCTCCTCCTCCTCCTCCTCCTCCTCCTCCTCCTCCTCCTCCTCCTCCTCCTCATCCGCCGAAAGCACCGCGGACTTCTCGCGAACACGAGTGGACATCTGTATCGATCTGATCTTCTTGGAGGCGAGAACAAAAAGAGAGTGCGGTGAAGCCCCCTCCTGCAGGCTGCTACAGCGAAGCGCTGCCAGAAAAGGCCTGAGCCTTCCAGGAGCAAAGCCAGAAGAGCACCGTCCTGCAGTGCTCGAGTGGACCAGTCCTGCCTGCGCGCGTTCACAGGACGGCCTTGACAACGTGGGTTCAGATTGACACTCTACGTATATAAGCCCCTGCATGAGTGACGCCGCCGCAGCATCCACGCAAGAAGCGCCTCCACTGCCAGAGTCCGACGGAAGGGGGGCCTCGCCGCAGGCCGGGCGGGGCCGGGCGGACGGTGCGCGCAGAGCGGATCCAACCACGGGGCTGGCCCGCGGCGCGCCCAGACGGCGAGACAGACCCCACGACGAGGGCGCCGACGCGCCCCCCCCCCCAGCCAAGAGAGACTCCCAGAGATGGGCGCTGGCCCGAGCCGAGAGACGGGACGGGCTGCAGGAGCCGCGGGGCCCGCGAAGCCCCCCCCCCCCCCACCAAGAGAGACCCCAGAGAGGGCGCCGGCCCGAGCCGAGAGACGGCACGGGCTGCAGGAGCCGCGGGGCCCGCGAAGCCCGCGGGCGCGGGGGCGTCGCCGGTGGGCCCGGGGAGGGCGCTGAGCTCCACTAAGCGTGGCCTCGTCGTTTCGGGGAGCTGCCGGCCCGGGTCACTCCAGGCCCGGGTCCGTCGGGCTGCACGCGCAGGCTCCTGCAGGGAGTCCTGCGCCCACAAGCCCGGGTCGGAGCGCGGAAAAGCCGATGCAAGATCCTGCAGGATCCTGCGCCCAGAGGCCCGGGCCCGTGCGGCCCTGGCCCCGCCAGCGCCCTGCAGCATCCGGCGCTCGGGCCAACCCCCGGTGGCACTGACCCCCGCCTCTTAAGAGGCCCCGACGCCCGCCTCTCGCCATCACTCGGACGTCCCTTCCCTGTGTTTTCTTTCGGTTTCGTGCGTGGTTCTTTCGCCAAATAATCAAGGATGCTCCTCGATGGTTCTCGCCGAGAAAAAAATGCACACGTCCGAGCGATGCCAGGGCCTGCGGCGAGGCCCACGGCCGCCCGCCGCCCTCGGCGCACGCCTGCGGGCGCGCGTGCCGGCGCCTGCCTCCCAGCGCCATGGGAGCTGCGCCGCCCGGCATCCCCCCCGGAGGTGCCTCCTGGCGCGGGCGGCCCAGCAGCAGGCGCTCTCGGCCCAGATCACCACGTGGGGAGGGGCTGCCGACCCCCGTTCCCAGACCCCCGACGTCGTGATTTTTTCACGGCGTCGACCCCCAGAGGTCAGGACCCCTTCCCCGGGACCGGTTTGTCGGCCTGGGCCGCTTTTTGACGGCCCCGAGGCCCGGGAAGGGCCCCCGGAGGCCGAAAATATGGACAAACCGCCCGTCGCGATTTTTTCGCAACGCGAGGGGATCTGGGTTTGCATGGACCCCCGTCGCGAGGCTCCCGATCGTTGGCGGAGCAGCCTCGGCCGGCGAGCAGCACGCCGGGCGCTGCGAGCGCCACGCGGGCCACAGCGCGGCAGGGGCCGACGGCGCGCCAAGAGCCCCGAGCCTTGAGCCAACGAAGGATTGCAAAAAAACGAAGGATTGCAAAAAAAAAAACCCGAGAGATTGCAAAAAAAACCCGAGGATTGCAAAAAAACCCAGGTTTTGCAAAAAAAACCTGGTTTTTTTGCAAAACCCGGTTTTTTTTTGCAATCCGAGGTTTTTTTGCAATCCCTCGGCCACGGAGCTCTGGGCGCGTCTCCGTTCAGAGCCCTGTGACCACGGCGACGTGGTCGGCATGGCACTTGCACCACGCGGGGGGTCGGGCCACAGGGCGCTCCGCGGCCCGTTCGCGGCTCTGGGCGCTTCTCTGTTCAGCGGCCTGTGGTCACCGGCGATGGAGCAGGCCTGGCCATTCGGCCGCACAACGGAGAAGCGACCAGCGGTGCTTCACGGGCCCCTTCGCGGCCAGATTGGTAGGGATGTCTCTATCCACAAGGAGCGTTCACGGCTCTGGACGCGTTTCGTGTCAGAGGCCTCTGACCAGGGCGAAGAAGCAATGACACTGGGACCAGCCTGGTGAGCGTCTTTTTATTCGGCGTTTCGACACTGGGCGGAAGGGGGGGGGGGAAGTTGAGGGGAGGGGGGGTCTGGCTCTGGACGTCTGCTTAGCGCGACTGTTTGCGACAGTGCGTCCATTTTGGGGGGTAACTCCACCTGCTCGAAACAGGCGCCAAAAACAGCCAAGATCTGCTCCATTGGGGGGGGTGGAGGGGGGGGGGGGGGGGGGGGCGAGGGCCCGCGCCGATCTGCAGAATAGTGAATAACAAAAAGGATCGCCATGGGGGGAGCCGACCAGGGTGGTTCCACGGGCCCCTTCGCGGCCAGGCTGTGGGGATGTCTCGAGCGGAGCGCACGAAATATCGCGGAGCGCACGAAATATCGCGGCTCTGGACGCGTCTCCTGTTGGCAGAGGCCCGTGGCTGCCGCGCTGCCGCGGGCATGGCACCTGGGCCTCCGAAGCGGGGGGGGAGCTCTCGGGTACGGCAGGTTCGTGTCGTGTCGACCCCGGCGTTGGTTTTTGACACCACAACGATCGATTCAACCTTGAACGATCGGCCATTTCCGCAACGTCCAATCGTTCAACATCGATCGATTCTGGGTCGCCGGCGGCGTTCAACCTTGAACGTCCGCGCTGGGGTCGCCGCTGGTCGACACGACGCAGACCTACCGTAGGGGGGCACATGCGAACCCTACCCCTGCCCACCACGATTCCCGAGGGGGAGGGGTGGGGGTAGGGGTAGGGTTCGCAGGGTTCGCAGGGACGGGTGGGCTCACTTCGCTCGGGAGCTCTCGGGTAGGGGGGCACATGCGAACCCTACCCCCTGCCCACCACGATTCCCGAGGGGGAGGGGTGGGGGTAGGGGTAGGGTTCGTAGGGTTCGCATGGACGGGTGGGCTCACTTCGCTCGGGAGCTCTCGGGTAGGGGGGGCACATGCGGACCCTACCCCCTGCCCACCACGATTCCCGAGGGGGAGGGGTGGGGTTCACTTCGCTCGGGAGCTCCCGAGCGAAGTTCACTTCGCTCTGGTTGGGCGCCCCAGCCGCCTCTTACCTTGAAGGGGCCCTGGGACACACAAATGAATGCACACAGATGAAAGGATTCCCAATATTTTCCCATGTTTTCTGGGCTTCTGTCTTCTGTCTTTCCCCTCCACTGCCCATATTTTCCTATACTTTCTGGGGGATCGACGATTCATTGTGTCTGTGTGTTTTTGCTACTCCTCTCACCTGAGAGCCCCATGCCCACCGCGAATGCAGCAGTCATCCCAACAGGGAGCTGCCAGGGGAGACCCACGCACGGCGCACGCCCAGGCTCGCTTGCACTGAGACCCGCTGGTAATCATTCAGCTGGGCGCAGCCTCACTCACACTCAGACAGGGGGCAGGGGCGAAGGAGAGAGACAGGAGAGAACAAGAAAGAAAAGAAAGAGAGAGGGAGAGAGAGAAACAGAAAAAGAGACAGAGAGAAGATGCATGCATGGAGCTCCCCGCGTCGGACAATTTTCGCGCGCTTCCGCGGGCGCGCGACGGACAATTTCTGTCCGCATGCGCGCGCTCAACGCGGGCAGATTCTTGGCGAAGTAAGCGCTCGTTGCGGTCGGCTGCCCAGCGGCCACCACCATCAAGCCTGCACGGGCCCTACCTCCCATATCCGCCTCCGTAGTGGGGCGCTCCTGCCGAGACCGCCACTGGCGGCGGCGCCGGCGCCGCGCGCGGCGCATAGCTCGGGTACGCCGCAGGCTGGCTGTGGTAGGTGCTGGGGTACCCCGAAGACACCGGCTGGCTGTACTGCGAGGAGGACGCGGGCTCCTCCGGGGGAGCAGCACGACACCGACGCCGCTCCTCCTGGGGCCTCGCCCAGGGCGCATTCGGGCCAGGCCCTCCAGGCGAATCCAGCCGTGGCGGCGAGGACCTCCCAGGTGGCCAAGAAGGCGAAGACGAGGGAGGGGCCTCGGAAGCGGCACACCAGCACCTGTCCCTCTCCTGATCCTCGCCCACCGTCACGACGGAGCCGAAGAAGGGGTAGGACGGGTAGGATAGCTTGATGCCTGGGGCGATGCCAAAGTCACCACTAGAGGGTCGCCAACTCCTCGAGGGAGCGCCGCTTGCTCGAGGAAGCGTTGCCTCCGGATCGCGACAGAGCCCTCCTAGACGACCCCAAACGTCCAAAAACCGGAGGCCGAGCTTCGAGAATGGAACCCCGATCCTCAAGAGGAACTGGTGGCCCCCCAGTGTCGGGGCCGTCCAAGAGGGGGGCGTCCAACAAGAGGGTTCGCAAATCATGGTCCGAGGCATGTGTGCGGACGGGGGGGGCCAATGGATACTTACTTTGAAGAAGAAGAAGTTTAACCATAACAGCGACAATAACTAACGATCAACAAGAACACACAATAAAACTAATCAGGCGCATGATACGGACAATCACAAATAGGGGGTCATAATATCCAGGGAGGTGTCAAGGCACTGGCCATGATATATCCCCCCTCTAGTCATCACCCTCTGCTCAATGCCTTGTGGTCCTCCAGCGGCCATTCGGGACGATCTGGGCTCCCCCAGAAAAGCCCTCGACGAGGTGCTGGAAAGCACCCAAAGGCCAGGAAACCTCCAGGAGCCCACACAAACGCCCAGATACTTCAAGGCTCAGACTCCATTGGCTGCCCCCGATGGTGATGATACCTTGGAGGCGGCTGGGGGGCCTGAACTGAACAGGCCCCGAAAAATCTGTCAACAAGGTCGGGTGTTGCTAGAAGTGCTCCTGGCCCAAAGTGCCCACAGCTTTTCTCTCGATTTTGGAGCCCCTGGGGCCCCCTGGGCTTCGTGAGGGGTGCTCTGGAGGCCGTCTGGGTCACCCGGAGAATCCTGGGGGGGGCCCTGGGCCAGGGGCACTTCTAGCAACACCCAACAAGCCCGCTCGAAATCGGTCCCCGGACCCCTCCCACTGTTGCAGTCTTTCGCCCCGGATCCGCTTTTGACGGTCCTGGGGCCCGGCAGCCCCGGGAGGCCGCAAAAGGGAAAACACCTTGTCGAACTCGGCACCCCCGCCCTGTTCGCCGGAATCGAGGCGGGGCCACCTCAGACCCCCAGCCGGCTCCAAGCGATACCTGGCGGCGCGCACAAGGGGTTGGAGGGAGGGGGGAGGGCTTCTTGGAAGGAGGCTGCTTCTAAGAAGGCGTCGGCCTTACATCTATAGAGAAGGTCCGCGCCTTCTAAGGAGCAGGGGTGCTTCTAAGAAGCCCTGACGTCCTGATCTTTTCAGGGCGGCGTCCCTGGAATTCCCGACCCTTTCCCAAGGACCAGTTTTTCGTTCTGCGTCGTTTTTTGACGCTCCCGAGGCCCGGCAAGGGCCCCCCGGGGCCGAAAATTGTCAAAAAACCTCCCGTCCTGATTTTTGCTACGACGCGATCATGTCTGGGCTCGCTCCCCCCCCCCTACCGCCCTCTGCGCGTGGCTGATGTAACCCCCGGCGTTGGCACTGCCCGAAGTGCCGGCGTCCAGGGGAGGGTCCGCCGCGCCGGGCACGACGCGCGCACCGCTGCCGGCCGAGGCCTGGGCGGCGCCCTGGAGCTGGTCGAGGCTGCCCTGCGCCTGCGCGCGCAGGGGGAACGCCATCCACATCCTCCTCCTCCTCCCCCTCCTCCTCCCCCTCCTCCTCCCCCTCCTCCTCCCCCTCCTCCTCCTCCTCCGAGGCCTGGGCGGCGCCCTGGAGCTGGTCGAGGCTGCCCTGCGCCTGCGCGCGCAGGGCCTCCGAGCGCATGATCTGCTGGGCGGGGGGGCCTGCCGTGAGAGGCGCAAAAGGACATGCCGGCAGACTCTGCGTCCCGCCTGGAGGCGCGCGTCCGACCCGAACACACAGTATACCCATCTTGTAGTGGATCGTTTCCCGAGCGGTGTGGCCAGACAGCGCCCGCCACGACGCGTGTACTACAGGATTTCTCGGTGCGCGCCTCGCGCGCGCTTTTCTTCTTCTAGGGAGGGTGTGGTCTGCACAGGGCGTGGTTTGCAGCCCGCGCCCCTGCCCAGACCAGCTCGAGGCAGGAAGACGTCGCGACGGGAGGGGCCGCCGCTGTTTTCCGCCCCCGGGGGCCCCGCCCCCACCAGGCCTCGGGGCCGTCAGAAGATCGGCTCGGGATGGAACACCGATGCCAGGGAATGGGTCGAGACCTCAGAGGGGTCGCTGTGGCACAAATCTGGCGGCCCCCGCCTGCTGGGGGATGACAAGGCGTGTGAGACACTTGGTCCCCCTCCCCGTCCCCCCCTCCCCCGGGGTCAAAAACCGCGAGTGTTGGACGCTTGGAAATGGGCACCAACTCCAACACCAGGGGTTGCCTCCACGGGAGGAAGATGATCCTGGATTTCGGTGTCGGTGGTCATCGGCCGCCTAGGAAGCCCGAATATTACCACCATCACCGAGATCGGCATCATCTTCCCCCGGTGGAAGCACACCGCCGATACTGGTGTTGAGGAAAAGAAGGAAGGGGTGGGTGGGGGGGGAGGGCGAGTCCCCGGGCTCCTAAAAAAGCACCCCTACGGCCTCTGGAGACTCCAAGATTTCTCGATGCGCGCGTCGCCCCCTGGGGGGGCTGCGCACATACAGTATAGGTATGCTGGGGCGACGCCGACCAAGGCCTCCAGAGCCTCCAAATCTACACTCTGTGGCCTCTCGGCTGGCTCGAGCTGGGCTCCAACACGCCGAGGAGAGCTCCAACACGATGAGGATGACCTCGAGACTGTCCAGGTGACCTCCAAGACGCGCCAGGCGGGCTCCAGGAGGACCCCCAAGAAAGTCCCAAGAAGCTGAGTTCGTCCCAATCCCCCGGGGGAACGGGTAGGTTTGGCACGTTCGCCTTTTCGGTTTCAACAACGTCCACGTCTGCTCAAGAGGCCAACCAAATCGCTCCAAGACTGGCCCAGGAGCCCCCAAGACGCTCCAAAGGGGGCCCCAAGAGCTGCTCCAGAGACCAGACACATTCATTTCCCCATGGGCGTTTTGCGATCTGTTCGCGGCCTGCCTTTTGCGACTCACGGTGGCCCATGACGGCCTAAGGCCTAAGCAGCCTCCAAGAGGGCCCCAAGAGGGCCCCAAAGGGGCCCCCAGTCGGCCCAAGAGGACCCCAAGAGAGCCACAAGGCGGCCCCGAGAGGCCTCCTGGACGGCCTCCGAAGGGGTCAGACGGCGCAAGAGCGCCCCAAGACAGCCCAAGAGGCCCCCAAAAGGCCCCAAGAGGCCATTAAGAGGCCACCAAGAGGCCCCGACGGGGGGGGGGCGCATCCGACCCCCGTGGCACTCGCAACGCCCTGGGGCGGGCAGAACGGGACGGCAGAACTTCTCGACAAATCAGCAGGGCAAACCACCCAACGCCCAATCTTAACGTGCTCTGGACGTGCTTCCCGCGGAGCGAAACGAAGCCACGTCCGGAGGTGACGTGCTGCGTGACAGCGTTTCGTTGTTCGGCGAAAGTAACATGACCAATGTATCCCATATTAAGAACATGCTACACATTGTAACATCTTTGTATTAGTTTGCGTTATCATGTCTCCCCCCTGGAATCGCGCCACATCGGCGGACCAAGACAATACCCCCCCTTTGGGGCCCAAAAATATGCCAACATGTACAGAACATCTACGACATGGGGCCTCCTGGGGGTACCAGAGGGCCTCAGGACGGCTCAATGCAGCTTCCCGAAGGCCCAAGACGGCCCCAAGACGGCCCAAGACGGCCCCAATATGGCCCAAAGAGGCTCCCAAGACGGCCCCATTAGGCCATGAGGAGGCCCCCAAAAGCATCCCCAGGGGCCAAACAAATTGATTCCAATTTGGTTTTTGTTGCAACAGAGGCTCCAAGAAGGCACAAGAGCCCCTCAAGACGGCCCAGGAGGACCCCAAGAAGGCCACAAGGCGGCCCCGAAAGGCCCCCAAGACGGACTCCGAAGGGGCCAGACGGCGCAAGTGCGCCCCAAGACAGCCCAAGAGGCCCCCAAGAGGCCCCAAGAGGCCCCAAAGGGGCCCCCACCAGGCTTCCAGGGTCCCCAAGAAGCCTCCAAGATGTCCCAAAGAAGACCCCAAACGAAGAAACCACCAAGAGGCCCGCGGAATTGTATACGAATGGCGCGTTGCTGCTATGATCATTCAAATCTGAACTTGCCGCGCGTTGCCTTGTGCTGACACGCGTCTGCTGCTCATTGCACTCGTGGACATTCGTACGCTCGTCCCGGCGATGAAACCGGGGGGTGCGCACCCGCCCCCTGTGGCCCTGGCAGCGCTCTGGGGCGGGCAGAACGACACGGCAGAACTGCTCGGTTGACGAGCAGGGCAAACCAACCGCCGCACGGACGTGCACCCCGCGAAGCGAAAGGAATCAAGACTGGGTGAGGGCGGGCGAGGACCTCGACAGAGTTCTCCGCCGCGCCCCGAGGAGGCCCGACGAGGACAATCCTGTGCCCCCCCGAGCCCCAACGGCTCAGATCGCAAACCACACCCCAGCGCAGCCACATCCTTTGAAGTCGGCGTGCCTGCTGGACGGCGCCAACCCAAACCTCCTCTGCGTCGTGAAAACTACACAACCAGAGGAAGAACAAAAACTGCACAACCCCAGCTTTCGTAGCTCCGCGCGGATTTCTCCGCGCGCCAGGGGCGGCGCCGGGGGTGCCGCCAGGGGGGCCCAGGCGCCGATCCAAGAAATCCGCGCGGAGCCCCGAAAGCTTATGTTTATGAAGTTGCTTCTTTTGCGAACAACGGAAGGCGTCAACAAGGACCAGGGACTGTCAAAAGACGCTTCAGGAGTGAAAACAGGCCCTGGGGAAGGGTCGGGACCTCCAAAGCCCCGAGGCGGGCGAATGGGCTTTTCGTTGCTTCTGGCCTCCGGGTGCTTTCTGGACGACGACAAGCGCGTAGCATCGGTCACCCGCAAGAGTGACCTTTGGTGGGCGGTCTTTTGAGGGCCGCGGGGAGACCAAACACGAGCGCGCACGACGCTACTATCGCACAGCACTCGGCGATCGGGGGCCCCGGTGGGCCCGCACCAAAGTTCACTCCAGCGAAGGGTCACTCTTACGTGCAGTCGACACCATTCGGGATCATACAACTGATTCCGGATCTGCCGCACGTAGTTTAGTTGATTCTCCGACTTGCAATTGTGTCGGAAATTGCAAAGCAATCCTCCTCCCCCAAACTCTGGTGATGGATGGGAGGGGATATATTTCTTGAGCCAAAATATGGCGACGATGCAAGAACTCATTCTCTGTCTTCAGCCTGGCCCTGGGAATACCTGCTGGGGTACCCCTCTGAATTGTCATATATCCGAACACCTCTCCTCAGGCATGGAGCGGTGAAGGGCCGAAAAACTGCATCGCTACTTCCAGTCTCGGTGATCAATCCGAGATCTTCCGCAACGGTGTGCACGCCGTCTCCAACAGCACCAAATGACTCCCCAGCCCCTGCTTCGTGAACAGGAGGCGTGGCTGCACAGAACAACTCTGACCAGCCTTGGAAAGAACGGCACAAACGCTCTCTAGGCGCTCTGCCTGCTCCCAGGTGGGGCTCGCGCCAGCCGAGATGATCATCTCGATCAGGCGCTGCTTCCTCACATAGCCCACCCCAAGGCCGATCTTGTTCGCACGAGCCATAGCTCGTAGGTCAGGCACTGTCAGCCTTGAAAGAACTAGCTGCACTCTCGCATCTCCGTCGCTTGCGGTCTGCTCAGGAGCTGCGCTGTCATCACTCAGCGTCTCTGGACGCTCGTAGCAAACCGCAGTGGAGCACGCTCGGGCTCCAGCACAACAGCCTACTAGAAAAGACAACAACGCTATGCTCAAAGCCATCACGATCAGTAGCCAGGGCGCGCCTTTGGCGCCCGCCTCCGTCTCCTGGCCGCGCGCCGTCGGTAGCAGCGCGCTCACCACCACTGCTCCGAGCGGCACGAGCCGCAGGTTCATGGTCGCCATGTGCTTGAACAGGGTCTCTGCTTCCACATGCTTCGTGAGGATGTCCGCGACCATCTCCGTGGTCGCTTCTTTAATCAACTCTAGCTGTCGCAATCGGACGCGGTCCTGTAGCCAGAGATACCTTAGCTCGAGGTGGCGCACCTTGCCCACGCCGTGGCGCTGGCAGATCCCTCTGCCCGCAGCACTGTCGCTGGCCACGACAAGACGCACGGTGACGCCCACCACCTCTCCGAGGAAGTGCTTCGCCTGCAAACCCCGTGCGGCTCCACTCCCGATGGCGTAGAACTCAGACTCTCCCGACGACAACGCCTGCGTAGCCTGGCTGACTGCGAACGCCTCGACCGTGTGGCCTCCGAAACGAACAACTCCTCCAGAAGTCGACGTCCTGAATAGGCTAGTCGTAGACGCCCAGTCGGCGTCCGCGTCCACTCGTAGAACCTCTGGCAAGTCCTGGAGCTCATAGCACCACAGCAGCCTCGGTGCGCCCTCGTAGTACCTGCACAGGCGGTGCAGACGTGCGTTCATCAGGACGTTTGGCTTGCTCACGTGCTGCATAATCGTCTTGGAGCTGAACATAGCGTCAGGCCTGTCGCTCGAGACATACAGGCTCAGTCCAGCCGCCGACGAGGTCGACTTGGCCTCGGCCACGGGCAGTGGGTCCAGGGCATTCCTCATGCCTGCCCCCGTAGCCTTTGTTCCAGGGGTAGGCGCAGCCTTGGAGCCCGACTTGTGGCCCCAGCGGATGAGCTCCTCCACGTGCTTCGGATCAGCACTCCAGTAGAAGCCTGGCATCCTGGTCTCGGGCAACTCGCTCG